TCATGATGTGACAACACGTGCAAACACTGAGAGGCCTGAAGGAGGGGAGCTGCTCATGGCTGGAGTGGTGGATGTCCACGGAGGGCAGTGGGCAGACCAAGCTCAGCCTGTGGGCAGGAGCCAGATCATGGAAGACACTGTATGTGATGACGAGTTTGGGTTTTATCCTGTGGGTGAAATGGAAGCATGGTTGTCAGTGATGTAGTCAGATTGGTATTTTAGTAACATTCTTCTAAGCACATGATTCTGTTCTTCATTAATTTGCTATATGTTTTCAGAGATTCTCTGAACTTTTTTTTTCAATGATTTTTTTGTTGTTGTTTTTAACAATTAGGTTAGCACACTTTGAACCAGTGTTGTTAGGTGCCGTCCAGTGGGTGACCTCATACACAACAGAATGAAACATTGCCTGGTCCTGTGCCAACCTCACAACCATTGCTGTGTTGGAGACTATTGTTGCAGCATTGTGTCAGTCATCTCGTTGAGGGTCTTCCTCTTTTTCACTGACCCTCTACTTTACCAAGCACGATGTCCTTCCCCAGGGGCTGAGGGACTTGTATGTACCACCTGGTAGGTAATATATAAGACGAAATCTCTCCATCCTCACTTCTAAGGAGCATTCTGGCTGTACTGCTTCCAAGACAGAATTGTTGGTTCTTCTGACAGTCCATGGTGTACTCAATATTCTTTGCCAACACCATAATTCAAAGACATCAATTCTTCCTTATTCATTGTCCATTTTCCACATGCATATGTAGGGGATGGGAAAAGACCATTTCCCCAGCATGAGGCTTCTTCACAGACTGCTGGAGAAACATCTTAATCCATTTGTGGCTGGACTTGGGTGGTGTGGCCAGCAAGCTCTCTCATCTCGGCCTTCTCCTCCACTGTCTTGACAAAGTTGAAAGTTACATATATTGAAATGTATTAAAGGCCATCTGATCCCAATTTTTCTCATAACTGGATTTTTGCCCCCAGGTTTCCTCCATAGATTGAATCCATAACATCTTTGGACATTGACTACAGAAAATTAATACTAATCACTGTCTGTGTACTCTCCATTTCTCTGCTAAGGTAACATACACCCAGCCAGATGTTTTCGAACAGTCTTGAAATGTGTGATCAGGGTTTGGCAAACATGATGACAAGTATCACTTGTTCTGTTTTCTGCCATGTAAACAAGCTGAAGTTTGGGGAATGATGATAAGAGGCACCATGTCTTGGAGGCAGCTCCTGCTTTCACTCTGCAATCGAAGGAGGGTCTAAGTCCAGCTGGCCAGGTCTTTCTGCCCATCGTTTTGGGAATACTTGTACCGTGGCTGCGAGGCTGGTGGTTTGTGGCCCACGCTGGGGCCTCCCGCTCCCTCTTCCTGCCTGTCTCTCTTTCATGCTGTTCCCCTGCTTCACTTCCAGGTGTCTTTTCCATCATTTGTGCTCGGCAGTTCCACTATTGTTCTTCCTGTCTGGCTCTCTGAAATCCAGCCCACACCTTTTCAACGGCATATCCTGAGTCAAGTGTTTGAAAGCTGTTATTTCATGTTAATTAGAAGTTCTTTTTCCAGGCAAGAGGCCTTGCACAGAACTGTTCCCCCAAGCTGAGGCTTAGAGACGAGCTCTGGCATTTTGTACTTTGGGTACAGTTAAAGGAATCGTGGGTAATTGCTGGCAGAGCCACACTCCTGCCTGCATGCTGGGAGACCTTCCCCACCACCTCCACGGCCCTCCCTGGGCCATGCAAGCTGGAGGATTCATTGTGCCTCCCAGAGACTCAGCATCAGCACTTGGGTGTCCTCCCTGGGCTCACCATGGTTGTAGGTGAAATGTCCCCTGGCCACAAGTGCTTGGTTATCACCTCATCCAGGACAGTCTCTGGGCCCCCAAGTAGGTCTCCACCAAATGCTGACAGGTGATCACTGGTGGCTTCTTCCTTGGTATCATGTCTCCCAGTTGACCCATGTTTGGAGGAGATTCTGCTGGAAAAGCCCTCCCACTGCCTTCTAGACTCGTGAAGACGGCAGCAGGAGGCTGCTTCTTGGCTCCTTACAAACCTCTTGAGACATGGCTGCCATTCCTTAGGTGGTCCTGGAAAAGCTTCAGGGGAATTACCACTTCTTCTTGAGACCTTTCTGGGCAGAAGCCGAGCCCCATTCTCAGGTCTAGCCTCGCTCTTTATCCCCACCTGCTGGTAGATCGGGGACAGCGTCGCTCACATTACCTGGCCTCCCATCCCATCACCCCAGCTGCTGCAGACCCAGACTTGAGGAGGCTGCAGCCTTCACCCCACTACAAGCCACCAGCATCAGGCTTCCAGTGGCCCGTTTGGAAAGAGTGGTTGGTGCTACCCCATCCCTGAGCTTGGGCAGTGATTTGTTAGGACCAGCCTCATGACATCTCACACTGAGGAAAAAGAGACTTTCCTCCTCGAAATATCTTTGAATGAGGGCTTTACATCATGAGAGTCATCATGGAAGGTTATTGATGTCTAAGTTAAATCACTGGAGATATCTTTATAGAGAAGGTACAGAAAGGAGTCAGTGAGCAAATGGTGTTATACTACTTAGTGATCTCACAGCATAAATCAAGACAGTGTGGAGGTGTGGATAGAGAAAGGGAGGGAGAGAGAGAAAAAAAGGGAGAGAGAGGGGGGTAGGGAGGGAGAGAGAGAGATCAGCGTTTTTATTCAAGAAAAAAAAGAAATCACATCTGGAAAACAACCAAAGGTCACTGTCACAATGCTTGGGTTTCCTTATCTGTTGAAGGAAGATAAAGACCAATTACCTAGACAGAATGTTACATGGATCACATAAGATACATGGAAAGTGCCAAACACAAGGCCTGGCATAGTAGGTCTCTAATAAATAGTAATTCCCCCTTTGCTTTTCTTCTTTCTATTATTGTTAACAAGTACCAGCTAATATGATACATACCAAGTAGAGAAGATAAAGGCATAAAAATTGTATCAGTGGAAGACTTACTTGATGAGGTAGGCTTTAGTTTAACTTGGGAAGATTGAAGTCATGGCATATATAGCCATGTTGTTATTGTTATGTGCTGTCGAGTCAGACCTGACTCATAGCAACCCCTCCTTGGGTTTCCGAGGCAGTATCACTACGGAAGTAGGATTGCCCAACCTTCCTTCCGAGGAGTGGCTGGTGGGTTTGAACCGCCAGCCTTCTGGTTAGCAGTCAAGTGCCTTACCAGAGCTCCTATATGCCATAGAGTTAGGAAAGATAAAAAGTGTTTGGCCATTGAGTTGTATTGGAAGGAGGAAAGGATCAATAATATGTGTGGCCCAGAATCGTATTGATGAAGTGAAATAGGAGTGGCCAGTTGGTGGAGGGGCCTGAAAGGGCTAGATAAGGAATTTGGATTTAGTGTTAGAGACGGAAAGGAATCATTATAGTTTCTTGAGCTGGCATGAGAATTTTGAAGATCTTTATAATAGATTGTTAGGGGACATCAGGGGACAGGAAGACCATCAGGAATGTATCTAAACTCATCCTGGGGCCTTCACTTAGATAGTAGTGATTTGCTCAGGAACTGAGAGAGAGGTCTTGAGACATGGCATAGAGACAGTAGAATTTGGGAATGGGATTACTCTCAGGGGCCAAGAAAGAGGTTTCTAAGCCCAGTGCTCAGGTCTGGATAGAGAATGAAAGTATTGGTAGTAAAAAACTATGGCAGATACACCTTGGGCCTGTGGAGTGAGAGGGAGAGGGCCTTACCCAGATGCCAGCTTGCTTGATGCAACTCAGTTCAGGCTTTTGGAGCTCAGCAGTCATTCACCTTCACAGGATAAGAATCATCATGGAAGGTTACCTGTAGATAATTATATTAACTGAGTCACATCTCGTGTAATTTTGTAAATAAATCAAAATTCATTTTTGATGAATGTTTGAAGTTTCACAACAAAATTGCTTTTGTTCCAAAAACTGCTCCTAAATTCTGGTGGCATACTGCCTAAGGCATTTGACTGCTAACCAGAAGGCTGGCAGTTCAAACCCACCAGCCACTCCTTGGAAGGAAGATTGAGCAATCTACTTCCATGGAGATACCACCTCAGAAACCCAAGAAGGGGTCACTGTGAATCGGAACTGACTCGACAGCAGTGAGTTCAGTTTTTTGGGTTTGGTGTCCTGAGTAAAATGACCAATGATTGGTCGTGTTGTACTTAGACTTGCCTTAGTCGTGAGACTTATGCAAAGCCATCTATTGAGCTGGGAGTTTTGGAAACCTTAGCACTGCTTTCACCTTCTTCCCTGGGACTAAACCTTTGGATATCCCCCTTCTGAAATAAGTACAAGACTGGCAGTCCCTGGGCTATGAATGAGATCCATTCCTAATTGTCTTTAAGTCACATTTGTAGGTAAGTTGGAAGAGGTGCTTACAGTTCTTATTTAGCATTACTTTAGTGCATGTAAAAGGAGGTCAGTGGTATATTGGTTAAGGCACTTGGCTGCTAACCAAAAGTTTGGTGGTTCGAACCCACTAGTGGCTCCACAGAAGGAAGATGAGACTGTCAGCGGTCCAAACCCACCAGCCACTCCTCGGAAGGAAGGCTGGGCAATCTACTTCCATAGAGATACTGCCTCAGAAACCCAAGGAGGGGTGCTATGAGTCAGATTCAGCTGGATAGCAGTGAGTTTGGAGGCTTTTTTATGAGTCAGAATCTACTCCAAGGCAGTAAGTTTGGGGTTGTTTATTTATTTTTTTTATTTTTTAGTGCAAGAAGAGGCTCGACGCCTTTTCTATCATTCAAAAGCTACCTGTGCAGCAAGTGAAGGTGACTGTGTTGCAGAATTTGTTGCAACTAGGGGTTGGTTTGGTTCATTTCACTGTAAGGGCAGATTTGCATTTCATTGAAGGGCAAGTAGGAGTTTCCTGTAAGGCAGCCGTTCATCACCCAGGGACTGCCTGCAGTTTCCAGTTCTCAGTCAGACCCCTTTGGTGGGACTCTGGCCTGAGCTGTGTTGTTTTTCCCCTTTGTCTCTCCATCATAGACTACTGTTCTCCAAAGTGAAGTTGGAGTCACTCTGCCGAGGCCCAGACGAGGCACTCCTCACCTGTAAGCACATGTTACAGGTATGGAAATCCTGCTACAACCTAACCAACCCCAGGTAAGAGACTGGCAGCGCCTGTTTTGTGTGGGGTTTGCATGGGCCCCTGTCTATTGGGGCCATCGCAGACTGGCATTTAGCAGGCATGGATTCTGTCACCCCTGGGCACCTCTAGGTCCCCAGGTGGCAGATGGTAGCAGTGGAGTGTTTTTCCAGAACATCCCACTGGCTGATGAAGCTTCCTAATTGGGAGTTCCTTTTGCTCTTGCTGCCATGGCAACACACTGCACTCAGTTCACAATCCGTCTCCATCTGACTTCTCTCTACCAGCCAGTTACTCAACTTCTTTGACAATTTTCATCGCCTTTCTGGTAGTTTATGGAGAGACTAGTCCATTATATAGTTCAGATGGGCTTCTTAACAGTAATGAAAAAAGACCCACAGAGACAACAGACTGCATCCTACTAAACCAAAACCAAACTCACTGCCATGGAGTCTATTCCAACTCATAGCAACTGCCCCCATAGGGTTTCCAAGGCTGTAAATCTTCACGGAAGCAGGCTGACTCTTTCTCCCACAGAGTGGCCGGTGGATTCAAACTGCTGACCTACTGGTTAGCAGCTGAATGCCTTAACCACTGTGCTACCAGAAGGCAAATCTCCATGGACATGGTAAAGTCTCATTTTCAAAAGTTACAATCGTGACTCAGACAAATATAAAAGAAACACGTGGTAAAGAGTTTATTAACTCTTGAGGGAACAAGTAAAATGTTAAGAACTGTTCAAAGAAGACTCTGAAAAACAGATATATATGTAGATAAACCAAACTCACTACCGTCAAGTCGATTCCGACTCATAGCGACCCCTCCTTGGGTTTCCAAGGCGATATCACTACCAAAGTACATTGCCCCATCTTCCTTCAAGATAAATTTGCATAGATGGAAAAATAATATCTCAGAGGGCAATGGTATTGCTTGGGGTTATCTCTTCTGCGAATCAACTGTGCTCTACCAAACACGTGGGCATCGAGTTGATTCTGATTCATAGTGACCCTATAGAACAGAGTAGAATTGCCCCACAGGGTTTCCAAGGCTGTAATCTTTACAGAAACAGACTATGACTATTAGTTTTCTACAGTTAACTTTTGCCCCTTCAGAGATGTATTATCGTGTAGTTGATAAGAAGTTAGTTAGTCAAAGATGCACACCCCAAAAAAATCAGATAATTCCAGAGGTCCGCTAGTCGGCACCCCACCTTCCACTGGTTGTGTTGCCTGGTGCCATTGAGTCTTCTCTGACTCATAAGGACCTGTGTGTAAAGGAACAAAACATTGCCCAGTGCTGTGCCATCTCACAGCGGTAGTATGTGTGAGCCCATGGTTGCAGCCACTGTGTCAGTTCATCTCCTTGAGGTCTTTCTCTGCCCTCTACTTAAGCAAGAATGATGTCCTTCTCTAAGGATTAGTTTTCCTGATCACATGTCCACAGTAAGAGAGACAGAGTCTCACCAGCCTCCCTCCTAAGGAGCATTCCCCTGGAAGATGCCCACTAATCTACCCATTTCCAAATCGTGGACAGTTGTTCTCAATGGCTGTTTGGATTACTAAGTGGGCCCTTCTCTGTGAAAACTCTCTCTCTAAACTCTCACTGCCATGGAGTCGGATCTGACTCATCGTGACCCCTCCTTGGATTTCCAAGGCGGTATCACTACGGAAATAGATTTCCCAGCCTTCCTTCTGAGGAGTCGCTGGTGGATTTGAACCACCAGCCTTCTGGTTAGCAGTCAAATGTCTTAGGCACTACGCTACTAGAGCTCCCTTTCTCTGTTAAAGAAGTAACTTAATGAAAAGGGGCCTAATGATTGTAGTGAATTCCCTCAGCTGCCTGTACCCTCAGAATACTTCCTAAGCTCACAACAGTGTGTGTGGACAGCTCCTGTCCTGCCTACTGCCTATGAGAGTTAGGAGCCTTCAGATGTGAAACTGATTTTTGTAATGAGTTTGCAGATGCTCACTAAGGGGACGAACCGCCCAGCCCAAGAGGAGGCAGGAAGTGGGCCGGCTGCAGTGGGCTGCAGTCTGCAGACCTGGGGTGTGTGAAGGTGGGCTGGGATTGGGGCAGCAGCAAAGTGGATGTGGGGTTCCATAGGAAACTTGGATGAAAGTGGTTGCAGTTAAAAAGAAAATTGTGTTCAAAAGCAGCGCCCAGTGAAGAAGAGGCCCCTGGCCACAGGCACTGCAGGCAGTACAGCTAGAAGGGGAGGGAGCTCAGACTAGAAAGTCACCCCACAGAGCCTTTCCCAGCGCCAGGGAACCACACTGCCCCTTGCAGAGCTCAAGTTGCAAGCCTTAGACGAGAGTCTCCACCCACCACCACCACCTGTAACAAGTCACTCTGCTGCCCTGGGCTCCCATCATCCTCTGGGTGCAATGGTCATTGTGAGACTGGCCACCTCCTTTTCGTGGGCACGCTCTAAAAAGGAAGCTCGTTTTAATTCAAGACAATTCCACTTGTCTAAGTCTGTGAGCAAAAGCAGAAAATGTCCATATTTATCTCCTCCCAAAGCCCCCCACTCCTGGCCTATGCAAAGCAGCAGGACTTTGGGGAGAGTCTTGGTGACATTGCCCAGCTAAGGGGAGATGCAACCCAAACTGGCTGTTCGCACTGGAGCACATTCCTCTGCCTGTAGCCCCTTTAGAGATGAGAAAATAAATCCATCAGCTTTCACGTTGCCAATTTTCCCTCAGTTCTCCACACCTCTCCCACCTCCCCACATTTCCTCCCACTTAGCAACCAAGAATATTGAATGTGAGGAGAAAAAAATAGCAGAATTGGAAAGCTTTTTAAAAATACTTAACCAAATGCCTTGGCTATGCCCATACTTCCTCCGTTTCCTGAAGGAGCTTTGACTCCAGGCTCAGAGTCTGGATGGGGAAGGGGGAGAGGGAGGGCCCACTGGTTGCTCAGACTTGCTCCCTCCTGCTCCTCCCCCAAGCCTTGAAGGAGGGGGCAGTGGATCCAGCAGCCCCGTATTAAGGAGCTTTCTGCTTGTGTTCTTTCAACTTTATTCTCTCTGGGTAACCCTTACCATGGTGGAAATGTTGGCATCTTCCCTGGTATGCTGGGGTAACAAGTGACCCTGGTGATAGAATGAACCCTGAAGAGGGAAGGGCTGTGTCTTGACAAGGGCCAACCCATTTTGCAGTTCTCCAGAGAAGGGCAGCTGAGGGCCCGACAGCCTGGAGTCTACAATCAGGTCATAGAAGGTTCTAGAAAAGGGAAGGATTACAGGAACAAGTCTGTGCAAAGCATCCCTTCAAAATTAAGAAGTGAGAACTGAGCAGAAAGTGTTGTGATAGGAAGCCGTCCTGTGCCTTCCTGGAGCAGGTGGGCACTGACTTTGGGCTCAGGGCACCCTTTGGGGGCATGTACCCTGTGGGGCCTTTGCTCAACCTGAGCAGATTTTCCATCTTCCCCACCCCTCCCCGGTCCATCGCAGTCAGACGGTGAGGCTGTGCGGAGCAGGACGGGACAGGACGGGGGCGGGGAGGGAGTGGCCAAGTTATGACAAGCCCCTGGCTTCGCGTTCCCGCACCTCACGCTCTCCTCCTCATTTTTGCTTGAAGAAAAAGCACACTGTGAGCCTGTCCCTGCACTGAGCCTTAGACAACTTGCAAGTAGCATTCCACCCGCAGTTGGAATGCACTTCTTGCTGTGAGCAAAGTGGTGGGTGGCATTCTCTCGGGGGTGCATTTGGCGAGGTGTTCGTCATTTCAGAAGTCTGGTTTTATTCTTCCTCGGTCTGCGGCTCTGCTTGCAGTTAGGGGGAGAAATCTGTCTCATGTTTTGTCTTCTCTTAGCGAAGCCTAACTCTACCTCAGTTCTTGTGCATACTGACTACCTGGCGACCCTTTGGCCCCTTCAAAGAACAAATTCTGACGGGCACCTCAGCAGAAGGTGCCAGCAGTCCTCTGAGCTGAGTGTCACAGCATCTCAGCACAGCGTGGAGCCTCCTCCGGCCCCGCTCAGAGCTGGGCCACTTCCACCTTTCCTTCAGTCCCTACACTAGCCTTGCAAGATGGCTACTACCATTTCCACTTTATAAAGAAAGGAGATTTACGCTCAAGGAGGATAAATAACTTACCTAAGTTTTCCCAGTTAAATAAGCCGTGGGGCTGCGGTTCTGCCTGTGGTCTAACAACACTCCCTCCACCCCAGCCAGCTGCAGCGCAGGGTTGGCAACCAACGTCTGTTGCTTTATTTTTGTTTTTATTGTTAAGCAGCCGCCCCTGCCTCCTCCTGTCACTGACACCTGGACCTGAGGTTATAGACATGAGTTGACATCTCCAAGTGATTTCTTCCTAAGCCTTATTCCAGTCACTTCCTAAAGTTACCCATTCATTACTCCAGCCTCAGTTGAAACTGACATTCCACTTCCTACTACAGGCATCCCCAGTAACCAGTGTCCTACTGATGTGCTACCCATGGTTATGAACCAACCACTATAAAGCCTATGCTGTTAAAAATTTGAGGTATATACAATAGTTCATACATTGTACATTGTACATACATTTTACTTGCAAAAATGGATGCTGCTTTGCAATGTGCAACCAAACATTATTATTATTATTGCTGTGTTATTATGTTAAAGATGTTTTAGTGTATTTGGAAGTGTTTCTTTCTTTCTTTCCTTTTTAAATTGTGATTTGGGTGAAAGTTTACAGAGAAAATTCACTTCCCATACAGCAAGTTCACACACACGCTGTCTTATGACATTGACTACAATTTACCCCAATGCAACAGCTCCCCTCTCACTTCCTCCCAATAGTTACCTCTTCCCTGTGTCCATCCCTCCATGCACTCCTGCCCCCTGAGCTGTCTCCCTGTGCATAAAAAGCCCTTCTTTCTCCCATGCTTGTTCTCTCCAAGGAGCGTATCTACCTCAAGTAAATGTTCAACTCACATGCCTGTCTTTTGTTTGGCTGGAAGCCACAGGTGTGGGTTCAATTCCAGACCTGAAGGGCAGCTAGGGACCATAGTCTCAGTGGTTCCACCAGGCTCT